ACAGACATGGGGAGGCTGGCAAGACAGGCTTGGCATGATCAAAGGACAAGACATGAACAGAGAGAGTGATCCAAAATGTTTCCTCGAGGAATGAACAGAACAGTTGTGTATATATGGAGCAAGAACCAGGTGAAACGAGGAGACTGAATGCTAGGTACAGGTGAACCGAATGAAGATGATTGAAGACAGGAGAGAACAAAACGTGGCTGGAGCAAAACAGAGACTCTTGAATACAAACTTAAACACAACTAGTAAACCATGAAACTAAAGCATAACCAGATCCAAAAAACATAACTTGACAAAACATGAACTAGAAGACAAAAACTAAAGCATGACCAGGAAAATAACAGAAGCATGATTCAAAACCTATCAAGAATAATAATAATAATAATAAGAAGAAGAAGAAGAAGAACCCAAAAACACCCACAAATTATGACATATTAACCAAAAACCACGTCATTGTTTAATCAACCGCTTTACCCGAAGGTGGGGGAACTTTAACTTTATTTTGACGGATAAATCACTCTTGCACGAAATAAACACAAATTCTTCTCTTAAATATATATGTGAATTTGTATTGAAGCCATATAATTCTGATATACCACCATTCTGGTCCAAAAACCTTCACCTAACTAACAAGCACTATTCTACACAAAGGGGATAAAAATAACTACCTAACAATAATAATAAAAGAAAATATATGCGCCTTGAGTGTCTATGAAGATCAAACCAGCAGTTTTATGGACAAAATGTGCAATTTGGGTTAAATGGAAAGAGAAGGGGCTGCACGGTGGCGCAACAAGAAGGTCCTGGGTTCGATTCCCGGCCGGGGTCTTTCTGCATGGAGTTTGCATGTTCTCCCCGTGCATGCGTGGGTTCTCACCGGGTACTCCGGCTTCCTCCCACAGTCCAAAGACATGCCTGTTAGGTTAATTGGTCACTCTAAATTGCCCTTAGGTGTGTGAATGAGTGTGTGCATGGTTGTTTGTGTGTTGCCCTGCGATGGACTGGCGACCTGTCAGGGTGTACCCGGCCTCTCGCCCATAGACTGCTGGAGATAGGCACCAGCTTCCCCCCGACCCACAATGGAATAAGCGGTAGAAAATGACTGACTACAAAGAGAAGCCCTCCTGGTGTGGAGCTGATTTCTGCGATCAGCTGGTAGACAGTGGGCTGTGCCCTTAGCCACTAGCGGCTGTTTGCCCCAAATCTCAACTAAAACTCTGAGGCGGAACTCTGAGGAAAAACTCCAGTAATAAAACTGAAACAAAGGAATGGTCAGGCGAGGCCCAGACCGCAGCTACTTTGAATTTAATACTTTAAAAGTCCAACTTCTAACTGAAGGCCGATTTGGGATCAGCCGAACAAAACATGAACACGTACGATTCAGTAGCACTTGCACAGGAAATCAAACAGCTCATTATAAAACACTTCAATCAGTATTGCATGCAACAAGTTAATATTTGTTAAGGTGATTCTAAATCACCTTAACTATGCCTCATCCTGCCCAGACCTCCAAATACATCTATCCAATTTAATACAAAAAAAAGAACAAAATTACTTTGACGTTGATTTCTTCTCTCCACCAGTTGAGGATGGGGGAATCACACGTCTGTGATAACCTCAAAAGAAAAACAGTAAACTTCTCATCCGTCCAAGAGTGGAAAATACGAACAACAGGTTAGTCGACTAAATCAACAAGGAGGAAACTCATCTCCTTGGAAATAGAAAACCTCTGTGGGTTTTCACCTGCGCCTAATGTCGGCGTGGTCTTCGATCAGTATATGAATCTTTTGACCTTTTTGTATCAGACAGAATTCCAGCTTTCAAGCTCTTCCGGGAATGGCCGTGTGGAGAAAAAAGGATCGCCTGCGAGCTTTCCCGATGCATCGCACCATGAGACATGCTGGAAATGGCAATGAAAGTTTATTTTCCGCGGGTTTTATAATCCTGGGTGACGTCAGAGCTGCAACATCTGTTGAGCTGCGCATGTCGAACTGCCCGACCAAAATGGATGACCCCAACAACACTTAACGTTTACTGTAAAGGGTACTTTTTCGAAGTTCAGTTCCTCTTCTGTTCAGGGAAACAAATAGACATTGTAAAAAATATCTTAAAGATCTAGAAATTATTAATAAGTACAGCGGGATTAAATTACATTTAGGTCAAATTACCCATTTAAGACTTGAAATAAAAAGTTTAGGACTTGGACATGATTTTGGACTTGCATGTCTTAACTTTGGACTTGACATGGGATATTCCTGTGTTTGCTTGGGATGGGTGGAAAGACTTGAGACTTACTTGTAACTCGGAAAACAATGACTTGGTCTCATCAGTGCTAATCATATTTACAAAGAGATAATATACACTATGTTACCAAAAGTATTCCCTCACCCATCCAAATAATTAAAATCAGGTGTTCCGATTACTTTCATGGCCACAGCTGAATAAAATCAAGCACCTAAGCATGCAGACTGTTTTTACAAACATTTGTGAAAGAATTGGTCGCTCTCAGGAGCTCAGTGAATTTCAACGTGGCGCTGTGAATGGATGCCACCTGTGCAACAAGTCCAGCCAGGAAATTTCTTCACTCCTAAATATTCTGTCAGTAGTATTATATGAAAGTCTCAGGGTTGCAGAGATTTGGAAGGACCAACATGCAGACAAGAGTGTGGAAGCCACATGGTGAGTCGAAATGTCTTTTAATAATCCGAAAACAGGTAAACTTACAGGTGCAGGCAGGACAAAAAAAAAACACAGGCACATGGAGCAGGTAGTAGCCAGGAAGAACCAGTGGAACCAGTGGAGATTAATATAAACCGGAGAGTATAAATACTGAGGTAGGGTGGAGAATGGACCAATAAACAATGGGAGCTAATCAGGAGAAATCTGGAGTAGATGATAAGGGAGACAGTGTAAGAAAACTGAAGGAGGGATATTAATTAACACAGATCAGCAGGGAATCCAGGGGAACAACAAGACATCTAAGTGAACAGAAATAAATAGACAATGGAACTAACTAAAGACCATTAACAGGAAGGGACCAGATCTACAAGGACATACAAACTAAAACACCTAACACAGGAATCCAAGAAAGTAATCTAAACACAAGAATGAATGATGAATCTGATTAACATAGATTAACTGAAATTACAGCAACTGAAGAACATGAGTAGAGAAAACAGAAAGGAACTCAAAACCTAACACTGGCAGATCATAACAGAAAGTGGAAGCGATTGGGAACAACAGCAACTCAGCCACGAAGTGGTAGGCCATGTATACTGATGGAGCGGGGCAGAGAATGGTGACACATATATTGCACAGATGTTGCCAACTTGTTGCAAAGTCAGTCACTTCTGACCTCCAAACTGTCGGGGTGCAACATTTTGGAGTTTGTTTATTCCTTCAGTTATTTTGATGTTGGTTTTGTGCTCTCTCCTGCCTCCTGGTGCGTGTTGTTTTCTCTCCTTTCTCTCTCGATCTTAGTTCCTTTAGTGGTTGCTTTCTTATTACTTGGTATGGTTTTCTTATGATTATGATTATTATTATTCTAGTCCTCACGTTCTCTGCTTCCTTCTCAGTTAGTTCCGTCAGTGTTGGTTTAGTTTAGTTTACTTTTGTAGTTAGGGGTTTCTTTATGGTTTCTTCTGTTCTATTCTTATGTTGCCAGTTTCTTGGATCTTAGGTTGTTGTGTTTCTTCTGTTCCCTCCAGTTTCTCAGTTTCCTTTAGTTCATGGTTATTCCTGATTCTATGCTTCATTTGGCTATATCCATAGTTTTGCTTAATTTATTTTTGTCTCTTTCTCATAGTTTAGTTTTGTAGTCAAGTTTTCCTTTTCCTCTGCCTCCGTGCTCCTTTTTGTGTATTAGTATTGTTTATCTTTTGATCCAGTTTCCCTTTGGTTATTTCATAGTCTAGTTTCTCTTATGTTCCCTTTGTCTTCCAGTCTGATCACCATAGCAACCATTTATATTCCCTCAGTTCACTGCAGCCTGGTCCACACCCGATTCATGTTTCCCTGATTACCTGCCTCCCTGTCTCATTGATCCATACTCCACTTCCCTCAGTTTATAAGCTCTCTGGTTTTCATTGTTTTTCGCTGGTTCCTCCCGTTCACTACCCCTGACTAAGTTCTGTTTGCCATGTTCCTGCAGAGTGAACTCTTGTAAGTTTTTGGACTCGACTTATGTTTGTACCTGCAGTGATTTTTGCTACGTTTTTGGAAGACCATTTTGAATAAAGATGAAGCCTTACTGTAACATGCTGCTGCCCAGCTCTTGTCTGCGCATTGGTCCACTAAAACCTCAGAACCTGACACAAACTTTATGTGGCCTTCAGCTCAAGAACAGTACATAGAGCTTCATGAAATGGCCGAGCAGCTGCATCCATCCATACAAGTGCATTGCAAAGTGTTGGATGCAGTGGTGTGAAGTAGAGACCTGCACGGGACTGAGTTTTCAATCCCAGTAGCGCCCGATCCCGAGGCTTTTCTGACCGCTCCCGCCCGATCCCAAGAACCCCGAACCCCCTACCTTTTCTTCAGCTCTCCGAGGCCGAGCGAGACAAGATTGACAGGCGCTGAACGGCCGCAGTATGTCAAGTGACACGTGCGAGAGGAAAAGTAGCTGAATAAGTAGATCAGGTTATGGTGTTTATTGGGCTGTTTATAAAACGTTTTTTTACAATGGTGATAGTTAATCATTACAGTGTTAATTATTACTTAGTCAGTCAGTCATTTTCTACCGTTTATTCCATAGTGGGTCGCGGGGAAGCTGGTGCCTATCTCCAGCAGTCTATGGGCGAGAGGCGGGGTACACCCTGGACAGGTCGCCAGTCCATCGCAGGGCAACACACAAACAACCATGCACACACTCATTCATAAACCTAAGGGCAATTTAGAGTGACCAATTAACCTAACAGGCATGTCTTTGGACTGTGGGAGGAAGCCGGAGTACCCGGTGAGAACCCACGCATGCACGGGGAGAACATGCAAACTCCATGCAGAAAGACCCCCGGCCGGGAATCGAACCCAGGACCTTCTTGCCTGCAAGGCAACAGTGCTACCAACTGCGCCACCGTGCAGCCCATTATTACTTATTATTACTTATTTTTGAATTTTGAAGCGGATCCAAATGTCCGATTTCCCTTCTTTATTCAGTAGGTTGTATTGCCCTTCTCTAATTTTCTTTTCCACAGAAGCCACTGTCTCCTTACCACTCTCCATGCTTTGTTGTTATGTTGCCTCACTCTCACTCGGGAGTCGGGACCGATGTGTTTTGGTCTGACCGCCGAATCCCGCCTGAGACTACGTAGATCCCACCCGATCGCGCGACATTTGTGTCGGGTCCCGCGGGACCCGTGGGACTTCCCTTACGATGCAGGTCTCTAGTGTGAAGCCACCGCCACTGGACTCTAAAGCACTGGAGGCGCGTATTCTGGAGTGACAAATAGCACTTCTCCATCTGGCAATCTGATAGACAAGTCTGAGATGAGGGAGTTTGGTGTAGATGAGCTTGTCTGGCCTGCACAGTCCTGACCTCAATAGATAGAACACCTTTAAGTTGAATTAGAGTGGAGACTGTGAGCCAGATCTTCTCATCCAACAATCTATGACCTCACAAAGGTGCTGCTGGAAGAATGGTTGAAAATTCCCATGAACACTCTTCTAAACCTTGTGGACAGCCTTCCCAGAAGAGTTGAAGCTGTTATAGCTGCAAAAGGTGGACCAACATCAACCCTATGGATTAAGAATAGGATGTCACTTAACTTCATATGTGAGTCAAGCCAGGTGAGTGAATATTGTTGGCAATGTGATTTATTTTTTTAAATGGCCTAGAGAAACACCTAGTTTTATGTCACCAGCAATTGATGTGTTTTTCATTGTTATTTTTACTGCGTTAATATGCTTGCGTGTCTGTGTTTGTTTTCTGTCACTACAAATTTTATGTATTTTCAATCTGTACTTTTACAGCACCTGTGACTCACAGATAAACAAGACAGCAGGTGGTATGTGATGTAATGCAGCATGCATATAAGTCCCGATTGTTACTCATACAAGTCCGGACTGTTGTGTGATTTGCCTCAGAATAACGCAAAATTAGAAAACACCATACAAATGAAAACTATATGTAAAAAACTATATATCAATGCTAGATGTTTAGAGATGTTTCAGTATGCCCTCTGAAAGTCACCATTTAGAACTGCAGTCTTTGGAGCATTTTTTAGACCATATGCTTGTTTTTATCATTATTTCTGGCTATAAGTGAAGATTTAATTAGGCTATACCTGTGTTATTTCTGTTATTGGTATGTAGAGTATGTCATTTTCAAGGTCCAAACGCTCCTTTTTCCTGTATGGGATCTTTTTGTGTGGCTTACATGCCACTCTTACCCTCAGCAGAACCAAACAAAGCATGCACACTGCCAGATCACTGGTGCACAGCAGCAGCTACACTTTGAACAACAGGGAAGATGCAGAAAGAGATGGACAATACCTGCTGGGGATAAAAAGAATCAGAAGACTTTACTGTAACGTGGGCATCGGCTTCCATATTCAGGTCCTACCAAATGGAAAGATAACAGGAGTACACAATGAAAATAAATACAGTAAGTACTTTTGACATTCCATAATAAATGTAAAAGGTAATGTACAAAATGTATTGAATAGACTATACATTGACTGCATGTCAATGTATAGGATACTTTCTCTTGCATAATGTAAAGGCAAATGATTTTAATATATACATATATATATAAAATATTATAATATTAAATATATATAATATATAATAATATATAAAATATATATTATATTATAAAAATATAATATATAATTATGATATATTGACCTACATTATGCAAACTTTCACTTGCAGTAAATAATATGTATTTCTATAAATGTTACAACTATGTTTTCTCTTCACAAAATATGACAAATGGAAACTTGGGGAGTAGTGGAAAATATTTAGTTTATAATATTTAAACCAAAATGTCCTTTTTTCCAACATTATTGTTGCCCAGTGACTATAAGAAGAATGAAAATATGTGATTAGTAATACCACTAATTTAAAGTGATATCACAGGCAAAAATGTCTGTACCGTTGTGCAGCGTTGAATGGGTTACACTGGTTGTAATGTTCTAGAACTCATAGGCTATTAGCTATTTCTGAATGAAATAATATCCAGAACCATTTTTCCATTTTAATATAAACTGGATTTATTCCCTTGTGGATCAATTAACTGGCTGCAGTTTCTGTATTTATTTAAAATAAAGTAATTTCTTAATATGTGTCTATAATTTCTAAATAATATTACCGCGCATCTCTCACTCTTTTATTAACAGTTTAAGTTATTGTACATTGATGTGTTCTTATTTCCCTTAAATGGATTTGGAAAGTAAAATCCAAGACTTAAAGGAGATGTAGCTCTAAAGAATTCTGGTCATTCATGCTCCTTCCAAATTGATTTATATATAATAGAATTAACTAATAAAAACACAAAGATATGAATGCATGCTCAGCATGAGGAATTGCTGTGAAGTTTATGACTTGATGCAATTAGCTGTTCATTGTCTCGGTATACCTCTTCAGGAGGAGGGATTGCTGTAAGGTCAGTTACCTCATGTAGTCAGTCATGTTTCTTTAGACAATAAACATTTTACCAACTGGCTAAATAACTTAACTTGACTGCAGTGTTTTATCCTCAGGACTGAATTGGAATTTATGTAACTGACTTCGACTCTGGCTGTATATAGACTGATATGTTTTTATAGAAATTAGATCTGTTGGTTTTGTAAACTGCCTTGAGACAACATTGGTTGGAATCGTCCCTACATAAATAAACTGATACTGATACCATTTTCAATACGAGTTTTTTTCATAAATTACTATTTAAATAATCATTATGTTATTAATTATGGGTTTTTTTCAAATGCGAGTCATAATTCTGGTCTTCCTTTGCTGATGATTGATTAAATACTGGGTGGATTGTGACAAAACATATATTTTTGGAATGTATATTTTTTCAGTAGACATGCAAGCTGTGTGTGTAGAAGCCATGTGGTGAACAGCTGAGATCTTTCTGATTCAACTGCCTGTAGTTTTAACTGTTTGGTGTTCATATAAATTGTTTATATCAGCTTTTAGCCAAGATTCTAACATGTCTGTGGTTACCACATATGTTTATGTTTACCTAAGGGAGCTTACAGTAATGAAAGTGAAAAAAAATAATTTCTTCAGCCAGTAATGGAGATTGAGTCTTAAGAGGTTTTAAGTTGGATGTTACCTCGTGGTCCAGGTGGTTGGAATTTGATTGGTTTGTGTTGTTATTAAACACATGGGCAGAACTGATTGTTTTGGATACAGTCAGAGTTGACAACCTCCTGATGAGTATATCCAGTGGACCAGCTATCCAGTGTGATGGATAGCTAACTCTAACCCTAAGGGTGGAAAGGCAAGAGTTTTCATTTGACACATGTTCAATGAAAGAGTTGAGAGGAGCTTCTACAGCAAGGTAGGGTGTAAGAGTAAAGCTCCCTTGAAAATGGTTCAGAGGGGGAACATTCAGCGGTGGCTCTGGCAAGGATTTGGAAAAATAATAATACAAAAAGGCAATGGGAATGTAGGTTGAAACTATCATACAGGTGAGTGAATATGATTTACGACACTGTTTGTAAAAAAAAAATGTAGCGATCTTCTCATTCCTCCTCTGTTTCTCTAATGCTGGAAGTAGATGATCTGATGGAAAGCACCTGGTGAGCATGGCAACGGAATAGTCCCAGCCCTGGAGGATATCATCAGGCCACACATACACACACACACATATACATACAGAAATATAAACAAGCAAAAACATACCCAGGTCATTAAACACCTACTTCTTCTCCCACAATGATATTTTGTCTTGACACATTCCTATTTATAAAATCCACAATCCTCTCCTTTATTTTAATCATATTTAACATGAGATAACTGTTCTAAGGGAACAGCACAAAGTAGTCCACCCGTATTCTGAACTTAGTCTCTTATCCACCTTTTATGCAACCAACATCTAAAGAGTTAGCTGAATATTTCTGAAGAGTCTAAAGTGTCCAGAGTGGTGAGTGCTCCCTGTGGTGCTCCTGTGCTGTCAGACACAACCCTTGAGTCTCATTAACTTTGGTCTGTTTGTCGAGTATTCCTTAATCCAAGTGATTGTTGAGAAATTTACCTGTGGCTTTTGGAGGTTTTTATATAGTAAATACAGCTGAATTGTTTTAAATGCACAGGAGAACTCAAAGAACCTGATCTTAATTATTGCATTTAATTTTTCAGGGACAGTTGAGATAAACATGGTAGATACAGAGCACATCTCAACTCCAGTCCCTGGCTGAGCTTTTAAACATAAACATGTACAGTTTAACAACATTTAAGCAATACAATATATCTAAAAGATCTATATCAAATGTACCTGATACAATGGGAATACAACAATGCATTCAAACAAACCCGAATCCGATTTGTTTCAGTTTTAATTTTTAGACAACTCTTAAAGATGTTAAAGAAAGTTAAGCATAGAATTATGTTTTCAAGCCTTTATTATCTGTTAATTATGATGATTTTCCACTGGCAACTAATAAAAACACAAGATTTTATATTATAAAATTACATCATACCAATAAAAAATGATTTTTAACACAGAAATGTGCGCTTAATGAAAAGTATATTTAAAATCTGCTTAAAGGTTGTTGTTTTCAAAAGGTACTTCTGAATCTTCTAAATCTGACAAACAAGCCTCACCGGAAAACATTCCGATTCACTGATTACGACTGTATACTAAAGCTGCTTGATATGGCACGTATTTCTGAAGAATTTAACAGTTGAGATTTTTTCTATTGTATTTTAAATAGTTAAATAAGAGTTGTGAGTCTAGTGAAACTCCCAGGTATTTGTCACAAAAAATTTTGTGGTTATGTATGTTAACTTTTAATAGTTGCTTCTTAATTTTCTTAACATAAGAAACAACGGACACTTGTTTTCAATGAGCTACTCTTGGACATTAATTATACATACAGACAGGTTGGTAGCAGCCTGCTCTGGTGTACTA